TTTCTATTGCATGAAGACTATGTTCCCTCCAAATGATAAGAAAAAAGTATGCAATTATAATAAGATTAAAGAAACACTGGCAAGACATCAAGCTAAATTTAGAACCAGAAGCAATTTGTGTGTGTGGGGGGGGAACAATAGTAAGCCCCTCAAAAGTATCACGTGAAGCAAAAATAAAAAAGATTCGCACTTGAACAAAATAGAGTAGTGCTTCCTATTTTAATAGTGATGACGAATAATAGTTGAAAATTTAATAGATCCCAGGCAATCTTTTGGACACATACTTTTTGCTCATTTGAAACCGCTTTTCTCTCAAATGGGTCTTAAGTTTATTGAAGAACTAGGTTTTACATAGGCTGAAAAATTGCCTACATTATATATTTTATTCTTTCTTTTCATTCAACTTCCTGTTTTAAGCATTGTCAAAGTCATTAAATTATACTATAAAAGCCTTAAAGACAGAATATGGCCATGTTATATGCCTCCAATCCTCAACTATTGGATACTCACCAGCATTGATAACTTGTTTAAACTTTGTTAATTCTATAGATAAAAAAATAACTCATACATTTTTTTGTGTGACCGTTTGAATAAACATTATCCTGCAAGATTCCAATTAGAAACACACTCATATTATTGAAACATTTAATTTTTAACTTTTTCCCAAAGAGTAATCTGTAAAATCTTCTAGCACCCAATAAATCAGGATAATAAAATATAATTTGTAATCAGCCACTTTTATTAATTTTCAAGTGGCAATATTCTTTCTATAGCTATGAAAACAGCAGTTTTGCAAACAATTGTGATCTATTTGCTCCCTCCTATGTGTCACCCCCATAAACATTTGTGACTGGCCAAGGAGGCCCAAGTTGGTGGCACACATACAGGAATTGGAAAATCTGTACCCTCTGTCTCCCTTCCCCAAATGCCATCATCAAACCTAGGGACAGATTTGACTCACTATTCAAATTGATAATGATACAGCTCCTTGGAAACATTCCTTAAATTATCCTTTAGCTCTGGGACATCCTTACTGATACAGTTTATCCTACTCCCAGCAGATCCCTTGGATTTCAGAAGTCTCTGAGGCTTTAAGGGGTAGGCTAAGTGGTCACTGATAAAATATAAAAGAGACAAAATATAGAAGTAGTGCATCTCCTGTGGCTTTTAAAAAGGACAGTGTGGGGATTTTCTGCCCACGGTCAGGGAGGGGATTTCTTTTCCATACAATTGTGCCTGCTAGAACATTTTAAAAAGAAAAGACTTGACCCCACATACCAACCACGTATAAATATTTCTGTTGTATAAACCCGGAGATGGCTAATATTTTTAATGAAGACAAAAGCATACAGAAAACAAGTGCATTTTTTATATCATAATTTCATCAGACTAATTGAATTTTAAACTAATTAAACAAGATAACATCAATTAGGTATCTATTGTCTCTCTTGTGTAATTATATGTTTTATTAGCTGTGTTTCATAATTGCTACAGCAGTTTTTTAAATACTATCATGAGTTTTCCAGAGAAGGAAACCGAGAAGTGCCATGCACATTTTGGATTCTAAGGTGTTTTAAAAGATATGCCTCTGCTGAAATTAGGTCCCCTTGCCAAACAGGTGTTTTTGGTACATTTGCTATTTAAAACATCTTGACCTATTAGAAACAGTTGCACTTCTGGAGATCTAGTTTTAAGAAATGATCATTGTACTTGCCCACAAGTATTTTGTATGACAGCCCAATCTACACCTAACCAGGTTATCATGAACACCACTTCCCTATTTTCTCTGCTTCAAGCAAGAAAGACAATAACTTTTTTATTTTAAATTTTTATTTTAAAGATTTTATTTATTTATTCATGAGAAACAGAGAGGCAGAGACATAGGCAGAGGGAGATGCAGGCTCCCTGCAGGGAGCCTGATGTGGGACTCAATCCCAGGACCCTGGGATCATGACCTGAGCCAAAGGCAGATGCTCAACCACTGAGCCACCCAGGCTCAGACAAGAACTTTTAAAAATAAGTTGGTTTCAAGAGTAAAAGAAGCCAAGATCATGCCACTTAATTACACCACTGAGAACAGAGGTGTGAAAGAATTGTATTTCCATGAAAATGGTCCCTATTTAACTTTTTAAATGAATTTCACTTTTCCTCAACCTTCGTCCAGTACTCCCACTTCTGGAGTAAGCTACCATTAGCAGTTAAGTTCCATTGAGGAATATTGTTTTTAAAAATAGTATTTCCACATAACAAAATCTCTTGCATTGGCTGGTGTAGAAGTTGTGATGGATATGACATTGCATATGTCATATGGATAATCAGCTGGCACAGGGCTTCTCTTCATCCTTCAATGCCCTTATTCCTGAATCGACTCCTTTCACTAGATCTTTATCCTCATTGGGTCTAATAATAAAAAAAAATAGTCTAATTCCTACCCAAAATGAAACTCTCCTTCACACTTTATTAGTACTGACCCTCACACCCATTGTTGGGACTTTCATACCCATAATCTCATCAATATTTTTAACAATCCTGAGAGAAATTCAAAGTATTACTTCATCACCTTAAGATCATGTAGCAGAGGCTCAGAACCATTTTATCTACTCCTGGCCTTACGAGGCTGGCAAACAAATGAGGGATTCGAGAATCCTTTTTATTGTCTCCTACCACCCCTTCCCTGTCCTAATAACCACCCTCCCACTGAGTTCTCCTGGAATTCCTTTGTATTTATGCAAAGAACACGTTTCATCAGTTGAAGACTAGCTTGGGTTTCTCTTTAGTGAAGTCTCTGGTGGCTTAGCTCTTAAATTATAGTTTCAAGTCCTCAAAGATAAAGATCTTTTGTGCTGGCCCTGTAGCACCATACCGATAAGGGGTGAAGACAGGAGAATGATCATTTGTGCCCAATACAATTTCTTTTACTCTTTGCAGTTCTGGATGCTTCTCTACTAGACTTTCTTGCTTGTTTCCTTTTTATTTCAGATTCTGATATTTTTTTTTTTTTGGTTATTTGCTCTACTCCTCAAATGCCCCCTCCAAATAATACCCTCACACCTCCCTGTTTACCTGCTGTGACCCTGATGACACATGATCTTTGATGTTTGGATTACATTGCTATGGCCCATTTGCCCATAATCAAACTCACCTTGAGCTATTGGTTTTTAGGTCTCGTCATGCATTCAGACTGATGGGATGGCATAACTAAATGTCTTTTCTGGCCATCATCCTGTCTAACCAGACTTTTCCTCTTTGAGCGACTTTGCTACATGATCTGTGCTTCAGTGCAGCATAGTGAGGGCTGAGAAAAAAAAAAAAAAAGGCTGCATGTGTGTAGTAAGACCTCTGCTTACAGAAACTCCACATTCCTTCCTACCATGGGCTCCACAGTTGCCCATGATGTTCTATTTATCTTCTACAGCCACTAATCATTTCTAGTTTTCTGGTGCTTTCAACTTCCCTATGAAGTTGAAGAGGAAACGTTATCAGATTCATCTTTGTAGCAGAATGTCATAAAAAAAAAATGTTCTGAGAAAATGGCTTGACAGAAAAAGCTACAAGGACTTGTTTAGCATTATCAAAGTGCATTGTTTTGTTTTGTCTTACTGGGAGAAGGTGCCTTCTTCTGCCCAAAGCAGGTCTCCACCACCCCAGAGGCAAATTGGTGATCATCCAACCCAGGAAACAGGAAACAAATCTGCGTTGTAATGAAACTGGTTAATGGTTCTAATTCTCCACTGGTCACTGTTGGTTACACTAGGAAAGGACATCTGTGTACTTAAACACACGATTAATATTGAAGGGTGTTTGTCATAATAGCCAAGAGTACTCATATCGATAAATTTGGCTAGGCTTCAAAGTGGAAGCTCACAGGACTCAAAAAAAGATGGATTTCTCCATCTTTCCAACATATGCAGTTACATGGAAACTCCCCAAAGTATCAGTTTAGAATCCCTCTTGTATCCGGAGAAATGTCTCTTCTTTAAATAGTGTCTCAGCTGGGATAATGCATTTTTTTTTCTCTGTCTGTGGCCCCCCGGAAGGCCTAGTTACCAACAGCATATTTGATATGAGCAGACCTTTATCTAATTCGTAATCACAACCATCCCACCTTTCCCCCTCTTGTAGCAAGATTTTGAGAGCATTTGGTCTACTCTTTGTGTTAGAATCATTGGGTCTCATTGTTTACCATACAGTAGAATCACCCAAAGAAGAAAGTCTGACTCCAGCTTGCGATGCAAACCTGCCACGCAAAGTAGGAAAGTTTGATATGGTTGGTTTGACCTGGGCATGCAGCTGATATAAACATTTTGTGGGATTCCCCCCCCCCGCCCCCTCAAATACTGCCGGTTCAGAATACTGGATTCCAGAAGATGTGCACTCAGGACATCCTAACAGTGTCGCTAACTCCACCCCTTTGCCTGGAGGAGGCCTCAGGGTCAAGCCTCAAAGAAATCAGAAAAACCCAATGAAACCACTGACCCAACCAGGCCATCAGAGGCTCCTAAGGCCAGAGTGGTTTGCTGCCCTGAGTAGGTCGGGACGCACCCGCATGGACACCTCGAGTTTGCCCTAGCCTGTGACTGGTTTCACCCACATCTGGGTGCACTGGGTCACCTAGGTGCGCCAACCACACCGCCCCATCCCCCCCCCCCCCCGGGCCCCTCTGGCACACCGTGCACCACATAGTCTTCGTGGCCCCGGGACCCTGGGGATCGAGGGGCACCGGATAGCCGAGCTATGGGCTCCACCATTCTAGAAATCGCGGCGTGCACGGCGGGGCCTCGGAGATAATGCCGTGTGCGCGCTAGGACGCTCCGGGGTGCGGGGCGTTGCGCCCGTGGGTGGGTGGGTGTGCGCGGGGCCCGGGAGGGGGGCGAGGGGAGGGCGCGCGCCCAGCCCAGCGGCCGCCACCCGCCGGCGTTCCGGGCGTCGCCAGGGCCTCCGCCGGGCCAGGGCCTCCGCCGGGCCAGGGCCTCCGCCGAGGCCGGGCGCGCAGCCCCGCCATGTCGCGGTGCTGCCGGCGCAAGTACAAGAGCGGCGACCTGGTGTTCGCCAAGCTGAAGGGCTACGCCCACTGGCCGGCCCGGGTCGAGCACCTGGCCGAGCCCAACCGCTACCAGGTGTTCTTCTTCGGGACCCACGAGACGGCCTTCCTGGGCCCCAAGCACCTGTTCCCGTACGAGGAGTCCAAGGAGAAGTTCGGCAAGCCCAACAAGAGGAGGGGCTTCAGCGAGGGGCTGTGGGAGATCGAGAACAACCCCTCGGTCCGGGCCGCCCACTACCCGCAGGCCCCCCAGGAGCAGCGGGGGGCGGCCAGCGCGGGCGCCAGGGCCGGGCCGCGGGAGGAGCAGGCGCGGGCCAAGAGCAGCGCGGGGGAGCCGCCCGAGGGCGCCCCGAAACGTCCCCGGGAGGCCGAGCCGGAGCGGGAGCCGCAGCCGCGGCCGCAGGAGCGGGAGCGGGAGCGGGAGCAGGAGCGGGAGCAGGAGCCGGCGCGGGCGCCGCAGGAGGAGCAGGAGCCCCGGGGCGCCGCGGCCCAGCAGGCCCCCGAGGGCGCCGAGCAGCAGCAGCAGCGGCGGGCAGAGGCGGCGGCCGCCGAGGCGCAGGCCCCGGGCGGCGGCGGAGAGCGCGACAGCCCGTAGTCACCGCTTCCTGGAGGAGCCCCCGCCCCGTTCCAGCCGCGGCCTGCCTGGTACTGGGGGAACCGGCCGCGGCCTGCAAACTGGGGCGCCTCCCCCACCCCCACCCCCCCACCCCCAGCCGCCCTCCTCCGCCCCCCCCCCCGCCACCCCCGGCCCGGGGTTGACCTGCAGAGGCAGGCGCCCGGCCCCCAGCTCCGCGCTCCCCACACCCCTGTGATCTGGGTCAGGGCCTCCAGTCCCCGGGATGAGGGGCGCCCGCCGAGCCCCTCCCGGCCTGGAACTGTTGCCCAAGGCTTCATTCAGTTGGGGCCTGGCCCGGCCCGGCCGTTGGCCCCTGCAGACACGCGTCTCTCCCTCCCCGGCATTCTGGGCGTCTGCGTTGGAATCTTGGAATCGGGGGCAGGAGGGGAAGGGGGGGAGGGTACAGAGCGGCGGGGGCTTGGGGGGTGACTTCCAGGGCCTGGTGGTGCTGGTGGGGAGCAGCCCCCGGGGCTCCTGCCCGCGCCCCCTGCTGCCTCTTACCCCAGCTGCTCAGATCCACCGAAAGTGGGACAGCTTCTGGGGCAGGGCCTCCCTCCTTTCTGAGTCCCTTTTGGGAGTTCTGGGATTTGTCATTTTTCATCCAATAATGTGGGAGCTTCCCAGTTGTTTGTGACATGGGGAGGATTAGCTTTGCCCCCGCTCTTTGGATGGAAGTGGTGAGGAACACCTGTCCCCTGTTTAGGTCTCTGGGGCTATACGGGATGTTCTGGGAAGACGCCTGGCCACCCCTTTCCCTCTTCCACAGCCTCAAGGCCACCCCGCAGTCAGTCATATATGTCACTCAGGTGGAAAAGGCACAGAGTTTGGGAAACTTTGTTTTAATGAAAAGATTTTTTTTTTTTTTTTGACATGAAAACTACCCTCAGCTATGCCTTCAGTCGGCTCTCAGCTCTGACATTGTTAACTCCATTTCAGAGATGGACTAGGAGGTTCCCTTTCTGTTTGGGATTCGATGACTTTCTTTTTGTAGTTAAGGCTTTGGTGTTCCCAGGCAGTGCCATTTCCCATCCACCTTCCGCACTCTGGCCCCCTCAGCATTGTCACCAGACCTGAAATGTAACTTCCTGAGCAGAGGGAAGTGAGTGCCCCCTCCCAGCCTCTCCTGGAGCCTCTCTATGTGCCTTTCCCCTGTTGTCTCCTTACCCCTGCCCCTCTCCCATGGGCTCTGATGAAAAATTGTTGACTAGCTTTGGAAGTTGAGAACTGAACTATTTCAGTTCCAGGAAATAAAACCCGTTGATTCAACAAATCTCAGGTCTGTTCCTTTGGTTCCTTAAGAATTGGCCATTAGGGATCCCTGGGTGGCGCAGCGGTTTGGCGCCTGCCTTTGGCCCAGGGCGCGATCCTGGAGACCCTGGATCGAATCCCACGTCAGGCTCCCGGTTCATGGAGACTGCCTCTCCCTCTGCCTATGTCTCTGCCTCTCTCTCTCTCTCTCTCTGTGACTATAATAAATAAATAAAAAAATTTAAAAAAAAGAATTGGCCATTAACGTTAATGCCCCTCCTATCTTCTGTACATCCTGTGATAAAGGCAATCATTTGTAAGGTACAGGGATATTTTAGAAACCCCGCCCCAATAAAACTTCGTTATTTCAACGTCTCTACACCATCTGTAGTAGTCTCCCCACGCTGTGTAGGACCAATGGAAAGACGTCAACTTAAAATGTTTGAATGGTGACCCCCTTAGGACTATAACTGGGTTTCTAATACTCTGCTTGCTTTATCAGACAACAGATTTAGAGCAGAAGGAGGGTAAGAGGATGGATCCTTCCTTTAATTGTGATTGCCCTCCCAGATCTCATCACTACTCTCCTGATAAAAGGTCTTTGCTTTGTATTTCCAGTTCTTAAAATATGTCGTATCCGCAGAATATTTTGTTTTCTTCAGTGGTTTTGTGCATATATCTGAGGATATTTAAATATCCTTAATGATGATTACATGCTGGTTTCCAGGTATTGTATTTGTCAACACTGCATGCTTGTGGAGGCTTAGTAAATACTGGGGTCCTTTTCGTAGAACGCGCCAGGCCCTTACCAACCAGCACGGTTGGCAACTAAAGACAACCCTATTTTCCAGCCCTGTACAAGATGATATTATTCTCCTCCAAGGCATTATATCAAGATGACTCCTTGTTTTTCAGCTGCCACTATTGCAGTCATATCTATACTAGAACTTACTATTCAATGAATGTTTACCAGGTGCTGAGAAGAATGACCTCATTCAATCTTTGTAATAATCTGGGAAGGTAGACATTGATAGTCAAATTTTCCATTGGAAACAGCTTGGTTCAGAGAGGTGAAATGGCTTTTCTTACACTTCACAGGACCCTCAGGATTCAAATACAAGTTTTGCTGGTCCCAGCCTAAGCTTTGTTCCTTGAATTACACATTCAAAAAAAGCACTAAGTAGGAAATCAGAAATTCACAAAGCTGCTCTTTTAAGATTAATAACAACTAATCATGAGAGCAGCTAATTAATGCTCTACACACAATGTCTTTATTACACAACCACCCAATTAGGTACCTACTATCCTCTGTTTAAAAGCTGGGAGAGCTGAGGTTCAGAGGTGCTAAGTATTTTACCAAGGTGAGACAACTAGTGAGTTGAGCCAAGATTCAAAGGTTACAGATGCTTTGGTCTTTTATGGTTTATGGGTTCCTAGTAAACAAGACTTCCTATTGAACAAAATGGGAGTACTTATTTTTCTCTACTATTTTGAACATTTAGAAATTTGTATGGCAAAGAATATATTAGCAAATGCTGCTAGAGGGTGTATAAAAAAAAAAAAATCCGGGACCTGACAATTGTTTTGTCATTAAAGGACTTGGTGAAATGATGAGGACAATTGCACATTCCCTATTTTTCAAGAAGTATGTGACTATGGGAAATTCAAATATAGATTGGTATATTTGCCACAGGCAAGTGTGTGATTTTGATAAGGTTTTTATGGAGGCACATCTTCTGAAATGATTCAATAACCTGAAAGATAGAAAATGAAATTATGACCATTTGAGTCTCTTTGTATTATCTCTTTCTTCTTTTTTTGTTTCTAATGTTGGGGATAGAAAAAAGTTGGTGTTTATTAGGAAGCCTCGCATACATTTGCCTTCCCGGCAACTATAATATGGTAGTGAAAATGATAATCCAAATAAGGGTATCTCTGAACAGTGACACAAGGAATCAGCAAACACAATTGAGACTCAACAAATAAAGGGAAATGTGGAAAATCTGTATTCTCAGTCCTCTTCTCTGACGTAGCAGACCCTATTTGTATGCTTTTGTGGTCAATAAATGTTTCTTATGTGTGTGTGTGCATGTACTGAAAACGATGCTATTTTGTAAAATGTTTTTGGTTTCTCAGTAATTCCAGGGCCGTGTTTCTTTGTATGGTTTTGTCTTCTTCTGAAACACATGTGCCTCAGTGACAAAATTACTGATCAAAAACTAGTTACCTCGCTGAACAGAGAAAAGTGCTGGGCCTTTTGCCGATGCGGTGTTGGAGGTACCCAAAGGTGTTCATGAGTGTTCGGAAGATCTTGTTTAAGTGTTCCATGCAAATGCATGCTCAGCATGTTGTCAGTGATCTGCAGATGCATTTAGCATACGGGCTTCAGTAAGGCTTTCCAAGCATTTGATATTTTACATAAACGTCACTGATTACGTCACTTTGGCAAGCGACTTTTGCCACTGACGGTTGTAAATTTTGCGTCTGTCTTTTAGCTCTCAACCTGTCCTGCAAATTCTCACCAAAGGTGCTGATCCTTCTCTGCGGCCTGTACCTCTGTTTTTTGTTTCCTGGGAATACAGTAGATATTCAGGGCACATAGGGCATTTTCTATTCATTCATTGTCAACACGTTTGTCAAAGAGAAGCTTCTGCTACACATGCTGCGCGCACATGCTGCTCTTTGCATTTGGAAAACACCGCCCCCCTCTTCTGGACCTGGCCAACCACTCAAGGGAAGAGACACCCCATGTGTTCCTGTAGTGCTCCATGCTCACACTGACTGTATTCTAATTTCCTGTTCGTTTTTTGGTTTCCCACTAAATGGAGGAGAAAGAAATATGTGTCATTGATATTTTATCCCCATTCCCCAAATCGGCCATTATAAGCACACAGTAGATATAGTCTAAATGCTTCAAAGTCTGCTGTCAGATCTCCTTATAATCATGGTTCTAGAATAAAAGTCACATGTGAAGTTGAACACATTCTGACCCTATCAGGGAAGCAGGGTAAACTGACTTGTTCGCTAATGACATGTGCAGATTTTATGCCCCCCATTTTCATAACGCCTGGGTGCCCAGGTAGGCAAGGGAGCATTCTGGTTGCTGCCTTCTTCAGATAGGAGCCTGTATTAACCCTTCAGCCCAAAATATATACAACAATAAAGTGTGAGTATGCCAAGAAGAGCTTGGATCTGCCATTCCTTCAGCCTTTTGTGATATAGACGCCTCACTTGGTATATAGAGAGTTCTCAGAAGGGAATATATTTAAAGGAACAGGATCTGTTCACCATACAATATGGCCCCAATCTCACAAGCCAACTATCTGGCTTGTATAGAAACACTTATGTTTCCCACTCTTGGTGGAAAAATTGACTGTATTAGACTTTAAGATCTTTAAAATAGAGACCTCCTAAGTGGTTTCCTAGAGTAATTCTGACAGCAGGCGATTTTCTCTTTGCAGTTTGATTTTACACATAAACTTCAACTTCACTGAAATGGTCTTGAGAATTGCTGGAGAGCACACAGAAGAGATTGCAGCAAAGGGCTCCAGATGGCCTGGGGCAGCTTGAGGCATCTGTTGGTCCAGGGCACTCCTCATCATGGAATGGTCAAATCTTTGGCATGGGGACCAGTGAAAAACAAGCTTCACCTGCTTCCTGCCCTGGTGTGTGGTCCGTGCCTGAGGACTGTGGGTCATTTGGTGAGTGCCCTTGTCTCTCTCGTTTTTTAC